TGTGCAACACATTTTACTTGAAAAAGTTTGGTGCCATTTAAGTAATTTATATGAACAAAGTTGAAAGTTATCATTGGTTGTATCATGACAGCTAGCTTTTATTTTACGGTTCTTTAAACATGATTTTGGCGTTTCTTAAAAATGCAGCTGTTACTGTTTCTAACATGCAAAATTCCTTTCAGACAGGCTTTTTTTTTTAAAGCAGCACACCTTCAGATTCATGCTAATTTTCATGAAAATTTTGAAAATGTTTTTAAATGTGTATTATTGTGAAGTTACAAAAAGGAAGCATTTTACACATTATCAATGGCACTAACAAACCATGTAAATTACCAAAAAGTGATAAGATATGCATAAAACGCATTTACTGAGTTAGTTACTCAGTAAACATATAGTTGTAAATGCTGAAAAATCAGTCATTAATCGCACAAAATATGTAAAATATTACTTGAATCTTGAAACTTTACTACTTTGTAGATGCAACACAAAAATGATAAGATGCATGTTGTTGTGGGGGCTAATACAACGAATAAATCACAAACATTTTACCTAAATGCATTAACCTTCTGAATAACTTGAATGATATAAATTTATATGGTATGGCCATCCTAATGCATTGCCAGTACCTCTGCTAATATTCATACAGGCATACTTTTTAACAACTGCATTAAACTGAGGGTTTTTAGTTCTCTTTTTTTCCTTCTAACATTATTTCTATATCTCAAAGATCACTTTTTGCAAGAAAATGTATTTAATGTAATTTTATAATTATTAAGGGTATTTAACTGGCCAAATCATGCAAAATTTGATAACAAATAATTGGAACTTCATATTTTCAATGTTATTAATAAAATAAAAACTACTACAAGATGAACCAATACACATTTAAAATAATTTGGTAAACTTTGAAAACAGCCTCTCATTTTGGCAGGCTCTTTTAAGTAGAAAAATGGTCAAAACATGTTCCAAATGGGTGGAAAGAATACCGTTTTTCTACATGTCTCGAACACTTTGAGAAGTAACAATCATTCAGCTTTTGTGATTTGGAATTACTGTATGGTAATTTTGTTTAGATTTTGCATACAGGTGTCCTTTAAAACGTATAAGTGACCATGCTATGTTCTCAATTTTCAAGTTCTTTTTAGTGCCTATTAGGATGGTCATACCATAAAATTACCGAAATCTTAAAGGCTTTTTAAGATGTTACATACCTCAAAATATCATCATTGATTTTCTGCAGCAATATATATTGCTATGAAACACTGTATAAGTGGAAAATTTTGCCACATGGAAATATTTGCGATTTTTGCGTACTGAAATTAATCTCAAATGATCAGGCAAAAGTTATGTCTTTTAGGCAAACTTTCTACTATCATTTGAAAACACGCTTTCATACAGTATCTTACATGAAATAAGTAATAAGTTTGACTGTTCAGGTACTGAGATTCATTTTTCCCATTGCTTGTATGTTTAAGTTTGGTCTTAACTTTTTCATAAAACAATATATAAGTTAATGAGTTAATAACACTAAATGTTTATTATATGACAAAAGAATGTTTCAAAAATATGACAAAGAAATGTGTGATCAGCTCCTTTATCACAATAACAATATGTTGTTGTTTTTTTTTTCAAACAATTATATGAATAATAAAGAATTGAACAACTGAATAGAACAATTACAATAACGATGTATTCTTAACATGTACCTGCTTAATATTTATGATATCAGAAAAACAGTATAAAATTCAAGAAATCATACTTCGCAAATATTTCTGCACGCAAAATATCCACTAATACAGTAGCAATCTTGAATTTCTGTTGTCAAGATTATCATAGATTTTCGTTAATATCCATTGACATCTCCAATAATTTACCTGCTATATGTTTGTCTAAGTTGGTGTTTACTTGAACCTTTGCAGCATGCATAGGTCCTTGATCTGGGGTCATCATCAATTGGTCAATGTGGGCATCATCAGTTAGGTCAGTTGACATACCAGGCTCATCTCCTGAGCTACAGTAAGCTGCTGTTAACAACAAGAAATATATTGCAAGAAATTGTCAATAAAAAATATACAATAAAAATAAATTTTGCTCAAATTTGTTATTTGAAAACACTGACAATAGCTATGAGCCTCTTTTTAAAGAAGGTTTTCAGCATAAATTTAGAGAAGCCATGTGCAGTAACACTAGAATACAGAAATTAATTCTTAACCCTACAAAAAAGAATGTCAACCAAATCCTTCAAACTCTTATCACAGTATGACATTAACCTTTTAGAAAATTACATATATCATGAAGCACCTGTTCAAGCTGTTTAATACTTAGATAAATTTGCAAGTTAAAATAAAACAGAACACTACTTACCTTTGAGCAAGGGATAAGAGTCATGCATGAGATAAATTTCAAAATAACAGTTAAGTGTAATATCAAGTTACTTTATTGAGCTGTCATGTATAGCGTTATGTTTAACTGAATGTAATTTTGACCTGGGATGTCATGTAATTGCTCACACCCTTTGTTCTGTAGTATATTGTCACATTATCTAAAAATCCTTAAGACATATAGAAATTATTTAACTTTTAAGACATTTTTGTCCTCTCTATAAAAGTCATTGTGGTGTTTTGTCCACTCTATAAAATTTTGAGGTGTGTGGTTTTGTCCCACATTCATAGCCGAAATACCAAAATGAAAAGTATATTTAACCTTTTAATAGAAATGTCCTAGACACTAAAAATTTGATTCGGAAATGACAAGAAGTACTGTAGTAGAATTCAAAAAAAAAAAATTCTTCTTGACCAAAGATACATTTATAAACATTGAAAAAATACAATGGATCTTACTTTGTTCATCAATATTAAGTAAATTTTCTTCTGCTATGTCTGAAATTCCTGGTTCATCTCTTGTGAAGAAATCTATAAATGTAACAGAAAAAGCATATTAAAGCAATGCATTAATGCAAAAATTCTGTTGTTTCCTAGGTAACCAAGTGGTGAAAAGCTCTAATATATGGGCATGAATAAATAATGAATAAATAAATTTCAATGTAAAGCCTTTGCATAAATGTTGTAAATTTAGCACTTAAATTGTTGTTAATTTTTGCATTTTCATAATACCGGTATTTTTTGAAATGGTATTAACTGGTAAATTATGAAACGGTTTTTGGTACCGTGTAAGTACCAGTTATTGATATCCAACCCTATTTGAATTTATAAAGAAAGAAAAAATAATTCTTTTCTGAAGTATAATGTGCCTTTTAATTACCTTGGTAAATGGTTTCCATAGGCTGTAAAACACTGGATGAATGTTCGTCAATAAAGTCATTCTCAGAAGACAATCCCAGATAGTCAACAGAACTGTATAAACAATCTGTTAAAGAACAATTCATTCTTATCATTGTGAACAGAAAATGAAAGATGTGCAGCAGCATGCATAAATCATATAATATGTATAACATCAAAGAATAAATTGCCCCATTAATGAAGTATGTAGGGTAACCTACAGATGTAGGTTTTTGCAAAGCAAATTATCTGAAACAAACAAATGTTTACTGCAGAATTTCATAGAGCAATGTTGATGGCTTATTTTTGATTAACAGCTTATTAGGCACACAATATCTTACATTTTTTAAACTTTTCATCCAAATGTGCCAAAACAGGATCTTAACAAATGAAGCTGTAACATTGGTATTGTTCTTTAAGCAAGTAAACTAGCTACAGGCAGTTTAAACAATGGCTCAACTTGTTGCAGGCAGGTGAAGAAAATCCTATTTCCACATCCTTGATGACCCTCGGTCCTTTTGTTTATTTCAAAAGTACATGTATAATACATTCATCACGCATGCTTTTTTATGAAAGTCAAATAAACTAAGGTCAACGCCAGGCAGAAGCAACGCCCGACTTTCTTTACTTTTTCTAAAAGCAAATTCAACAGTTTAAACAAATTTATAAAAAAAAAATACAATAACATTAAGACCTTTTTTAAGTGAATAGACACACATTCTTTTTGTTTTATTCCAAGAATGAATCATTTCCATAGATAAATAACAATGTTAAAAAAATTCAATCATTTGACAGTCAAGATTTTCTTTGGGTCAAGGTCATATCTCAATTATTCAACCTGTCTGCTTAGTCACATTAGTGTTGCTTTGTTCATGTAAGAATCAAATCTGTACAAATATCAAAATTATGACAACTAAACAAATATTCAATAATATGACCTTGACGGTCAATGTCAGTTCAACCTGTTTGCAGGTCTTGTCCAATAGGTTGTTTTGTCTAAGTATGAAGACAATCTATTTATCAATTACCAAATTACGATTGACTTTAGCAAAACAGAAACTGAAAACTTCATATTATTTTCAAAGTGAAAGGGGCATTACTCTGCCAAAAAATATTGAACCATGACCCAATTCAAACTTAGCCTGAACATTCTTTTAACATATCCATATGTAAAATGTGAGTTGAATGAGTTGAATGTATAATACTGTTGGGGAGATAATGAACAGAAACTGAAAATTTCATTTCTTTTCAAAGTGAAAGGGGCATAACTCTGCCAAAAATCATCAAACCATGACCAAATTCAAACCTGACCTGTATTTTCTCATGACATATCCATTTGTCAAATTTGAATTGAATGTGTAATACTGCTGGGGAGACAATGAACGGAAACTGAAAATTCATATTCTTTTCAAAGTAAAAGGGGCATAACTCTGCCAAAAATCATCAAACCATGACCAAATTCAAACTTGACCTGTATTGTTTTCATGAAATATCCATATGCCAAATTTGAGTTGAATGTGTGCAACCATTACTAAGATAATGAACGGAAACTGATGATGACAAAATGACGGAAGGACGGAATGACGGAACAGGGTAACACTATATGCCCCAACCCTTATATGGCGGGGGCATAAAAAGCCAAGGTCAATTTGAGTTGAATATACATGCAGGTCTTATCCTAAAGATTGATTTGTCTCAATATGAAGTCAATCCATTCATCATAATATTAAAGTTATTGTCCAAACGATTGTTATGTCCAAGTATGACGAAAATCCATTCAAACTAACAAACATTTGGCCTTTAAGGTCAAGGTCAATAACGAGGTAATAGAAAAGTTATTGTCCAAAGGTTAATGCGTACAAGTATAAAGACAATCCATTAACAAAACTGAAAAAGTAATAGCCGATGTTTATGTTTCTGGACGGCAATAGTAGGGAAGTAGACTAGCAATAGCTTAAAACAAATATTTCCTTTGAAAAAAAAGTTTGAATAAAATTATAATGAAAATACCTTGAAAGCTGCTTTCCTTTCTGTGTAACAAGTTGATAGAAATCTCAATATTTTCAGATGACATTCCAGGATCATCTCCAGAACCTGTCAAACAAGAAAAATTTGTTACATTAAGCACAATTTGAAACATAAATTCAACATACTGAAATTCAATAAAGACACTATAAGTAATTCTTACACCAGATAACAGTACACTGAGTACAGAGAGGAATTTTTAGCTCAAGTGTAACTGTGTTAAGCATTAACGAGGCTCTGCCAAGTTTCCACTAGACAGTTACCTGGGAAATAGATATTCCCATCTGTGATGACAGCCGGTGATTAATATAATTTTTTTTGCATATTTAAGATAAACATAAGAAAATTATGAAAACTAGTATTTTCATGTAGCACTTTATTCTTCTGATGTCATTTAATGCATGTAAACTTATCTTACACAGAGGGAGAGACAGGTTTTTCAAGCACATTTGTAAACAGTAAATAATCCTGTCTGATATGCAAGAATAGATCTTAGTGTTCCATTATTATTACTTAAAGGCTTTTATGAATATTATATTTTAACGTCACAAAGTAAAAACAAACATGACTACTCCAGTTGTCTTCAAATACATTACATAATTTTTTTCCTGATTAAATAGATGAATTTTTGACTTCGTTAACACATAATGGCTCTAATTTTTGCTGTCAAAGTTAAAGAGCTTGGACCTATACATAAAAGACTGGGAAAAAAAACACTGACTTACTATCATAGTGATAGGTGGATGTAGAGGAAGCCATAAAATCATGGTTATATGTGGTTAAAGGATTAGATTTCTCTCTGAAGATATGTTGAAACTCTGGTTGTGCCTGAAATAAAAATATAAAGATGACTGTCTTGAAGATAATATGCACAAAAACATTAGCATAAAACTTTATCCATACACCTCCCCCACCCAAATCAAAGAACCAAGTACAGATCATGTCTGTTGCTTTATGTATCTCTCTCAACAACATTAGAAATGTCTTTTATCTGTCTGATGAAAATTAGACAGTTATAAAGTTTGCATTGCTTTAAAGCTACATGCCTCCAGATGAGGCAAACGAAATATTTCAAGTAAATGAACTTTGAGCAAAATGTATCATAAAATTGAACAAGTTTCTATATTTATAGCATAAAGCCACTTCCGCAGATATAGCCAACAAGAATTTTTAACATAGTTGCCAAAGCCCTCTGCCTAAGGGAAGGTTTACATGAAGCACAAAATTGTGCTCTGTTTATAAGATTGAGGTATGGATCTGGATTGCCAGTGGAAATCCTTGATCAATGCTAGATCTGCACATGCAAGTAAAAATAAATTCATAAAAGAAATATAATAAGATAACTCCTGTGTATGTGTTCAGAACTACTTATTCTTAATCTTTTATGTAGATCTGAAGACAACCAGATATGTTTCGCCTTCTTTATGTTTTGGATTCCCGAGAAAACTATTTTAGCCATGCATTCAAATTTGTTGTTTTGCATACAAAAAAAATGTTTGAAGTAATTTTTAACAAACTTGAAAAACAAGAACTGTCGTAGGACAGTAAGGCTGGACAGGGTTCGTACAGACATCCAGTATCAAAATTCAAGGACTTTTTAAGCACTTTATAAGCATGTTTTTCCATTTTTCAAGCACAATTTGTTAACTGTGCCTATATCCTACACAATCTTTAACCAATATTAATTTATAAGTCATTTCTTGTTGAAATTTTTTTTTCTGGCTACAGTTTCTATAGAATAACAACAAAGATAGCTGAACAAATACAAACTTAACTGCCATCCTGTTGTATGGCCCCCTGTTAAAACCCTAACTTCAATATATCATCTGATGGAGATAAATGGTGTTTGATTAACTAAGGGGCACAACTAATGCTGGAAGCTTTCACTACACTTGTAATGGCTAACTTTTTCCATTTGGGATTTATGTTTTTCTTTCATAGGTTATCCGTTTCTTTTAAATATAAATAATACAACATCACAATATTATATATATCTACATTATTAAATTGTTTTACAAAAATAGTGTCAATAATCATTGAATGGTAGGTAAAAATCATAAGCATTATACAGTCAAACTTCGCTCGCTCGAACTCTCATTTTTTGTTCAGTTAAGAGCCATGAAAAACTTTTATAAAAAAAACATGTTCATATTATTTTTGGTTTTATACAGAACCCTTATAATGCAAGTTTTGTATAAAATAATGCTTATTGTGTGTGTAATAAGCTGTCTTATAACTTTTTATAACACAGTTTGGCTATTTTGACAGTTTGAGATATCATTGGTTTCCATGGAAACTGCCAATTGAAAAAATCCAACATGCCAACATATATTTTCTCTTTATTTTGAATTTGTCATTAAATTTTACACAACATACAAAAAATTTAGAAAACCCTATGAAAGAATTGTTTCAATATCTTGATTATTCACAGAATTCATGTTTATTTTTCTCATTTTTGTTCAGTTTACTGGCATGCGAGCAGTTCCCGTACAAAAATCATAGTTACTTAATCACTATTTTTTATTACGCTCACTCACCAATATTTGAATGTTACACATCAATATTCGGCTCGTCACACAAATCATGGAAATTCCATCCAGGGTTTGACACTAATTGTTTTAACAAGGGATCCCATAGGAATCCCTGAGATTTAAATCAGGGATTCCTTCTAAATGTCAGGGATTCCTCAGCTCAAAATAGTAAAATATGAAGGCAAAGAATAACAAGGGAGTGCAGCAATCCGTTTTAAAGACCACATACATGATATATTGCCTTGTTTCAGATGCAGAAAATGTAGTTTATGAGCCATTTGGTTTTTTTTTGTTTGCTTGAATTTTTACGGCACGTCAACAACATAACTGGCCATATGAGCCCTTTGGAAATATTTCTGTTTAAAGTTTTAAAAAGTGTTTCAAAAGTGTTTACTTTACTAGTAATATATATAAAGTTGGACTGCTAAGATAAATTAAAGCATAATACGATTTTTAAATGCACGTAAACAAAATACATTAAGCTCACGCACTGAACAAGAGTTTTCGATTTGAAAATAAAAACCTGTTTTCTCCCTGGGGTTGATAATTGTGAATCAGTTCTGTAAAGGAAGTATAATGCAAGGACTGGGCATGGACTTAGGGTTGAACTTTGAAGTTAAGTAAAGGAACTGGGGAAACATTTTCAAAGATAGCCTAGGGTCACTGAAATAGAGCCAACATATCATATTAGATCTTTAAAAACTTACAGAATAATGATAAGGCCCATATTCCAGTAACTTGAGTAAGTTCTGGTATGGATAACTTTTGAAAATATTCCTTTCATGTCATTTAAAAAGAAATTTTTAAATATGATCACTTTAAAAAAATAAGTGATTTTCAGCTTATTATTGTACACTTTTTGTGTTTAAAAAAAAAGGAAATATCCCACAGATGTTGTAATAAAATATTTTTAAAATTTTTACTAAAGCTAAAATATCAAGAAAAAAGTTTTTGTTTTCATTACAAGTAGGGTACCTTCAAATGCTTTCGTTTTAAAAAATAAAAAGTTGCCTCCAAGTCCATGACAGGAGTGTAATATCCAAATTTATTTGTTCTCAATTTTTACACTGAAATGTCCCGATTCTTTTCCTCCCTGTGTGTATTGAACTTTTTTTAAGTTTTGACATATGCCACATCAAAGGCACTCACCGTATACAGCAGTCATGTAGTTTAGAACACTGATTGGCCAAAATAACTGTCAGATGAAATATACGTCATTTGGTGTATGTTTCACCTAAGGATTTTTCTTTTTTTTGTCGGTAAATTATGCGTGACCTTGATTGACCTTAGAACACTTCAGTCTTTAGTTAGACAATATTTTTTAGCATTTAAGGCTGCAGAGTTTCAAAAAGGATTTTAAACTGAAAAGTATGGATTCTTTTTATTCTATTTATTAATTATACTTTTGCTGTACTACAGGGGAAGTAAAATACATCAGTAATCTTTTTGTTTTTACACTTTTTTACGAAAATTTACAATGATCACAAATGCCGAATTTTGGCACACACAAAAAAACAACACGTACTTTTAACTTCGTAGCACTTACGCCGACCTGCACATATTTGAAGTACACACCGCTCGTGTAAAAAATTATACGATAATTATATTTCTTTCTTGAATTTTCACAACTTAATATTATGAAGTCAATGCATGATATAAAATTATTCAAGAATGTTTCTTTAGCCAAAATATTTTTTCATTATAAATCGCAAATGAGTTGATAGCAGTCACTGCACAAAGGAAATCTGCGTACATATTCAAGAGCCGTAGATTTTACCCGCGGGATTTTTCTTTTCTTTCTTGAACCCCTTGCAGTTGTGCAGTCTTATTAACACTTTTCTTGAATATTTGTGATTCAATGAATATTAATTCAGACAATTTCAAAAATTTACACAGCAATTTTTCAGGGATCCCAACGGAATCCCAAGCTAGGAATCACAGAGATTCCTCCCGACTTTTTGGGATCCTCGGAATCCCGGGATCCCGTTAATGTCGAACCCTGCCATCATGTTCTAAACATAGAATAACCCTTACTTATGAGGCCTCATATGGGGTACCGAAATTATCCATTATTTTGTATGAAGAGAAGTAGTTCCCATACATAAAATCTAACCCATTATAATTATACAATTTTATTATATCGGACCTATTTTTCATTTACAATTGTTGAACAGACCATTATCTAAGAGATAAATAGATGTAATTCAGGAAATAGAGCGTAGACTAAACGCGGGTATCTATTAACCGGTACCGTTACCCCAACGCATTCATATGCAGTAACATGCTTGTATGCATGATATTTTACGCATCAAAGCCATAAAATTATTATTTACTGGTTGGGGACCACCAAAACCGGACAACCACCAAACCCGGACGGCCCTGAAGATGCTTAATTTAGTATTTTCTTTGTTCAGTGGTTGTCTGTCACTTTTTTTTTATCAACAATAAATGTATGTTTCTTTTAAAATTAAGTAAATAAATTTATTTCAAAATCCGTAAATAGTAATATTTTAATGTCTATTTCAAGAATGTTGACGTTGAAATTTGGGGGTCAAGAAAGCAATGCCTGACCTCATATACCAGCTATAATCATTTGCAGAGTGAATAATAGAATATCCAAAACTTCAGCATTTGTTGCTGACATATTGTATATCATGTTAAAAATAAAAAATCAAAGCACCCAAGCTTTTATCTGAAATAAATCACGTCATTTACATATCTGTCCGGACACATGGTGCTGTAGTTTAGACAATTTAGGCAATTTTGATACCCTCCTTGTCGAGCCTCAGATATAAGTGTCAATAAAATCAGAAATAAACAAACTAGTTTGTTAGTTAGGAGAAGAACCTAGCTGAACTGTGTCAAATTTTTTGGTCTCTATGTTAAAAATTATGAAATCTGTACGGAAAAATGTTACAAAAGTGTCCGGTTGATGGTCTCCAACCAGTATAGTAATATTGGTCAACATTCTGATAATTAAACAATTTTTCATCGCATTGCCAACTTATTTGTAAACAGGTGGTATTAGTGGAAAACCCTTTAACAAGCCTCACGTGTAAGTATTTTTGGGCATGCGCGCAAGGACGGAATCCCCCATAGAAAACAAGGTCACGTTTTGACGAAGCACAGGTGAAAGTGATTTAAAATGAGACTTTATATACGTACTGCCGAACTGACACTTAGATTATGTCTCGTTTATGTATCTGCTTGATTTGAAATGAATTTTTGAAGAATGCAAGTAAAAATCAAGCGTTTAAATGAAAAATACGGGTACTGCTTCTGTACGGGAACTGCTCGCATGCCAGTAGAGCATGGAAAACTCATTTTTTTAAGAAATATGTTCAGATTATCATTTGTTTCATACAGAATCATTGGATAAGGTTATTTTTGCATTTAACAATGCTTGTTGTGTGTATTTAGCTATCTTACATATTTTCTACTTGTTTTCTATTTGTTATCACAGTTTGACTATTTTGACAGGTTTGAGATATATACGGTTACCATGGAAACTGCCATTTTACCAGAGATCCAACACTTCAACATGAATTTTTCTTTTTGTTTTTGAATTCGCAATTAAATTTTACTAAATATCATACATTAAATTTAGAAAATTCTATGAAAGGATTAAATTTTCATAAAACTGTAGAAAATGTCTTTAAATTAAAGGGAATCCATGTGGTGAAAATATGATAAGTGAATGAAGCAGAAATTTGATCATTAAAATGACATTTAACATTATACCCCATCAGCCCACTGTACCGGATAAATATTTCCATAAATTACCAAATAGTCTATATTTATATAATTTACCAGATAATGGCGATTTACTTCCAATAATTTACCAAATAATGACGATTTACTTCCAATATCTTAGACGACGCCGCCATGTTAACTTTCGCATCGGTATACTCGATTATTAAAGTTTAGAACTTAGAACATTGTTCCGTGAGTAGGCCGACCAGTTTCTTCTCAAGTGAAATCTTTTACCTCTTTTTATAATAATAATAATAATAATAATAATAATAATAATAATAATAATAATAATAATAATAATAACCATGGAAACTGCCATTTTACCAGAGATCCAACACGTCAAAATATTTTTTTCTTTTTCTTTTTGAATTCGCCATTAAATTTTACTTATCATACATAAAATTTAGAAAATTCTATGAAAGGATTAAATTTTCATAAAACACAACAACAGAGATGTAGATATAACATCTGACAATAATAATAAATTGATGGTATTTTAATGCAGAATATACCACTGACTCACATTTTACGGTTGAAAAGTGTGACTCGTTTGTTTCGCAAGGTACTGTACTATACATAGCGTTTCCTCAAAGATACTTTACAATAATTATGTCATATGTGTTTGGTGTTTTTGGTTGTCAAAATTATTGATTATATTATCATAAAAATATTACCAAAATACCAAAACAAAAGAAATCTGTAGATGTATTTTAATGGTAGCGATAGGAACATGCACTATATAATCGCTAACCAACTAAAAATTTAATGGGAGTATTTTGTTCTGGAACGTTTTATTCAGATTTACGTACAATTAATATTCATGTATTTTAAATAACAGAGGTAGCAATTTTTTCGTGAAATTACCATAAGAATATAAAAACAATATGATTTTACTGCTTTTAAATGTTAACAAAATTTTACATGAGATGTAGCTTTATACCCTTTAAGATCTTTGTCATAAAAAAATACATGGAAAGAAAGCTGTGATGAAGTCCAAAATTGTGAATAGAAAGCACATGAAATCTTACGTTTATTTATGTGTGTCGGTGAAAGTATTCAAAACGAATACTTTGATCGATAGAACATAAGAAGCCAACTTGAAACGTAACGAAATGATCAAATCTCACTTACATACAGCATCAAGTGCTGTGAAAATTTGTTTAGCAAAGTAAATTGATGAAAAACATTATTTTAAAAGATACATTTTCTATCGAATTTTTATAACCTAACGCAATACTTACTCAATGATGTACAGCTGAAAAATATTCAAACAATATGAATATCAATGGTTCGCTAATTACATAAATTTTGCAATACATTTTATAACAACCCTGCATAATTTTAATCAAATTAAAATAAATAAAAGAGACACTTACCCCAACATATGACAAAACGAGTACGAACACAACGAACATTTTCATGTTGAGTTGAGATCATTAATGATTATGAGATTTATATTTTTTAAACCATTTCACTCGTTCGATCCAGTCACGTGACAAGATGTACATGATCTGTCTCCATGGGGGTGCTGCACATCTAATAAGCCAAGCCGCTCGCGTCAACTCTGTATATCCTGTTGTCAGGCGCCGAAACTGATCAATCGGCGGCTTATGAAGGCGCCGAAACTGGTCAATCGGCGGCCTAAGAGCTTCTTCTTCAGAAGTGCGGAAGCGGTACGTATCGTATATTTATGTTATTTAATTGAACTAGCCTTCTTTAATCATGGCGAATTTTAATTTCTAGGACAAATCTTTCAAAATATATCTGAATGTTTTTCGTACGCTCCTAACTATCATCGTGTAATTTTTTTTTTAACGGACATTTTGCGATCACCTAAAATTTTACTAAATTACTAAATGACTTGAATCGAAATTTATAGAACTAGATGTTAAAATATAAATAAATAAAAAACATATTTTGAGAATATTTTTTTTCCTTTAAGCTGTCCACAAAATAAAATATTAATCAAGTTTCCATAAAAAAATTATCATTGTTCTTTTAGAATAAAGAAAAAAAAGAATGAAAGATAAAAAGAAATTAAGAAAAAAAAGAAAGAAAGAAAGAGAGAGCATTACTAATGTATTCAAATGCATTTTAAAGTAATTTCCTCTGTTATTAAATATTCTCACATTTCATTAAACAGCATTTTTCAGTAATGTTTATGTTTCATGCTGTGTCATTCATGTATCATATTTTTTTTTCTTATGTCTAAATGTTAAAATTGTGTTAAGAAAATTTCTGATAATAGTTCATAAAACATATTCATTAGTCGTCAGTACCAGTTATATAAATGAAACTGATGGACTTAAATAAAAGTTGCAAGAGCAGTTTTGAAAAAAAGGAACTTTAAATTCCCTCTGGTTTGTGGTCTCTTAAAACATTCATATCCTTTAATGTTTGTTTTACTTCATTTCTTTTCTATGATATCGCTCTACATTTGATTCACTTTTGAACAGATTCTCAGATAACAAAAAAATCTAGCCTTATTCTCATATTCATATAACGTTTAACTATAATCTATAAGATATTGTGAATTACCGAAAATTACCGATGGGGCGGGGCAGTGGTGTTCACGGTCCTGGGTTTAAGAATGTACATGTTCAATATATTTCCTCGACAGTTTTCTGTACCTAGCTAATTAATTTGATCATAAGCAAATATTGTGTCTATAAACAAATTTCAATAAAAATATGAAATACTTAATTCATTATTTTGTTAAAACGAAACTGAATTGAGAATATTTGTAAGTATTCAAAGCTGAAAAGATAAAAAAATATAGCAATTAAATTTTATATGTAAACAATGACTTCGACAACTTTAACTTTAGAACCGCCCCTAAAAAACTTCTGACCAATAAATGAAATTGGCGCTAAATATTGTCCAATGAGCGTAAATATTATGATTGTCGCCTTTTACCTAGCGTTACATGACCGACAGTTCTTCAGCAGTCAGGACGTTTGTTCATAACAAGAAATAAAGTAAGTTTAATTGGCTTTTCTCTTGAAATATTTTATTCTTAATTCTAGAAGTTAATTACTGGGGTTATAAAGTAAAATAGAAAAGAATTTAAAGTACTTTTAATTACATTAAGTCTGGTTCGGGGATAAAAAAAGGTTCGGGAATAAACTTCGGTAGCCCAAACAATTTGGTCACTATTAAGATAAATAAATTAAATGTACTTGATAAATTATTTCGTTAAAAAACCAACATGCAGACGGTCACCTCGATGATATCTTAAGAAATTCGTAAAACCAGAGACATAGATAATCGTTATGCTGAACTGTTTAACAATACTTTTATTTGATTTTCTTTTATTGGTACTGTATTGTGTTTTAAAAATAACATCTTTTTTAAACAGAAGATGATGTGGTGGTTAAGACGTTCGGTTACTGGAGAAGTTTACTTGCATAGAGATGAGGAGAATCATCTTGTGCAGGATGTACGAGCTGGGAAGTACTTAAAAGAAATCGATGTAAGTTCACAAAATGTAATCAGTCTTACTGAATAAATGTTGCATGACTACAGATGAGCCATAATATTTCAAGAAAATCTAATTTTAGAAAATGTAAAATGAGTTTTAGAAAAGTGAAAGGATTCACGATTCAAGTAATTATTGGTTTTATTCGTTATTTATCACCATATGAATTTAACATAAAAATAGCAGATCTTTGTTCAGAATGGCCTAATGATTAGATGATAATATGTGGCATAGCCATACATTAGTGGTGAGAATGAAGAACAACCTTTTTAAAAAAGATAATATTTAGAATTTAAAACTAAAGCAATAGCTGACCATTTATGAGACAGTTCATATGAACAAACATTATAATAGCATGTTCTTCTTCAGATATTATTAGAAGATGGAGTGGTTAAGACCCTTAGCCTTGAGACATATAAGACTGAAGGTGGTGCCCCGAAACCAACAAAGAGGAGAGGTTTTGTTGAGACATGGGGACAGAACTGTAAGTGCTTCTTCTATCTGAATTCATAAGAATGCAGACAAAAGTTTTCAACAATTACTACAGTAATTTTAACTGAGATACAGATCTTGTGTATACACTTTTTCTTTTCTTGAACTAGGTCATTTTCACAAAACTTTTATGAGGATGCACCATTTGAAATTACCCCCCCCCCCCAGGGGGAAATACCACCATCTCATATATCCACCTTAACATTTGAAAATGTTACATGAAAAAAAAATGTATGTTTACAGACAGTTTTGCTGGAAATCTAGTATGCTAAATATTTTTTAGAATAGGAAAATCGATATAATTTGTACACCGTCATGTGCTTGAGTGAATTTAGCTACTATCTGTCTGTCTGTTTTACTCTAAAAATAGTAATTACAATACAATCAATTGGTGTGTACTCTATCATTACTAATACAAATTAAAATGTAAGTCATATTTAAAATCTTCTTAAAAAACATTTATCTTTTGTCAGCAAATAACCTCTATCAATGAAATTTGCCACTTGTTTTAACACATTCTATTCATAAGTAATCTACTGTAAATTGCATGTGCACCTGTTGATAATTGACACAGTTAATTGGCATTACACAACATTTTGTTAATTGTCATAAAAATAGGATTTCATGATTACAAGCAGATGGGAAGGGCCATTTTCAGTGAATAAATTATAGGATTTTTGTTAACACTTTTATTGGTTGGAATGTTATTGACAGTAATATATGGTATAGTCTGATTTTATTGACCTGTCAATTATGAATACATTACAGCACTCATTTAAATATTTGATCCTACTTCGACTTTGTCCGTTTATTTTACGAGAATTAATATGGAGTATATAACTAACATTTGGAAAATTCCCACTAGCTTAATGTAGTTTCTCATAACATCTGCAATAGCAAAGTAGGTTAGGTGAAAATGACTTATCACAGTTTTAAATTGAAGAAAGACAATAGTATACATAACATGTTCAAATTGAAATAAATAAATAAATAAAAATAATAAATATTAAGACTAGAGGATAGACACCCTTAAAAGAGATAATTACCCATTAAGTAAATGTTTTTAACAGATAATTTGAAATTGTACAATTTTGATTCCATCCTAATAGAAGATGGAAGATGTACAACGCATTCAAAGTTTAAAAGTAGCGTTCGCTCAATAAATGCACAATCACAAATTACGCAGATGAATATCATTTTAATAAATTAAAATGCTATTTTTAGCGATGTTAATTGATAAATCTGACTGTCGAGTAGTGGAATATATACAAGTCAGACTGTTACAGCAAGAAGATTATCCCTAAATTATTTATATCAGTGTTAAACAACAGGTTTTTCATGAACAAAATACCTCAAAATTAATAAGGATTAAAAACCCGAAATGAAAATTCCAAATTTAGAAGTATTTGATTTTATTCAGGCTTTCTTCATATAACTTCCCTGTGGTGCAGGGGTTAGGATGTAGCCAGGATATGCAATGATAAAGTGTGGCTACAGTCATAAAAAATTGAACATGAATGATTTTTTGATGCAACTCTAGTCATGCAAAATTCTGTATGTATCAAAACCAAACTGTTATTATAAAAAAATCTAGACGCAGTTGCTGCATCTCGGTGCCCTGTAAGATGAATTATAGTATATAAAAATAAACTTATAAAGGAAAATACATACATAAATACTTACATAAATACAGTACATAAATATAGTATGATTTAGATTGCAAAGATCAGAAAATATCACTCTAGCTTGCAGCCCTTTGATGAATAAATGTTGATTGTTTTGTTAAAGAGTGGAAATGTCATTGAAACATAAAAGAAATAAAACGCATAATAATTAAAACTTACAGAAAAAGAGGCACTAAACTCAAAACACCAAAAATAATGTGTTCTCTCATATTTTATTGTTTGAACTATAAAAATGATTATGTCTCATTTTCCAGAACTGATATTTAAAAAAAAATATTCATTCATCAATTCATTTTAAAAATAAATTAGAATTTCCTATATAAAAAAAAGATGTCCTGTCTAAATTACACTAAAAATAACACTTAATGTATACTCATCTGCTTGCATTAAATAGTACATTCAACTACTGTGAGTTTGAGCTATATATCAATTTTTTTCTGGAAACATTTGGATTGTCACTTAAAACTTTTAAGAATCATAAGATACAGTATTTGTATTTGAATTCACAGAGACTTAAGTCAAGCATAATGTCCTACTGACAGCTCTTGTTGGTAACTTATTCATCTTAAGTAAATATGTGATTTTTGCAATACAAAATTTTAATGTGCTTGGGAAAATGATGTCATTGAATGGAAAATGTGTGTATTTTCAGATAGCACTGTAAGAGATTTACTAATTATAAGTTACTGATTTGAAAGCTATTAATTTTCAGTGCCTTCACTTGATTGGCCGGACCAAGAGATGCAGAGCTCACAGAATAGTGATGACAGTGCGACAACATCAGCTGATGAACACAATACAGAGAACATTCCCCCAGTTATAGCAGGTTTGTTTAAAATTTTGTTGCATTATATTTTTGTCAGTGCCTTGATCTACAAATTTTGTGGCGGAATATCAAGCTGAAGTCCCTCGCCAAAATACTATGTTTTTTTCCGAACTGAGGTAAACATTCCACGCACAAAATATATGAAATCAAAGGAAAAAATCAAAAAGTTATTCTGGTTTGACAAGTCAATTAGAGCTGTTTTAAGATAGGGTTTTTTGTCAGCGTAATTGTAATACTATATATGTACCATTTTACGTTTTTCAATGTGGTTTGCTATTTGTATGGAAATGTCTTTTCAAAAGCAAGTTGTATCGCAAAAAAAACCAGATATTTAAGTAAGGGTGTAGCAGTATACCGTACTTACAGTATACCATACCATGGTGCAACAAATCACCTGAACAGTACGGGACGGTACAGCTTTTTAGACCATTTTCAAGGGGAGTAATTATTTCAGTAAACATTGCAGAAGATCGATTAACTCGAGTGTTTTTAAAGTCAAAATAGAAGCATTTTGGATTTCAGGTGAAAAAAATGATCAGGATGTCTACTTTGACTGCTACTTTTGTATTTTTCGTATCGTTATTTTTGTAAGAACTGGCCATCGTCTGAAACAGCCTTTTGGAACACTTTTTGACCAGCTGATATTCAGGAATAAATAAAAATACCTTATCTTAACACTTTTGCAAATAAACCCCACATTGTTGAAACCAAATATTGTAAAAACACTGCAATAGACAGCTAGTTGTGTCGAGTTATGGCTACGCTATTTTGTTTGATAAATATTTTCCATACCGTTCTGTCAATGGATATATTTAACTGTTTGTAAATAATATGATCATTTTCGTTATGAATGTGTATTGTCCGACAACATTGACCTGGCACTCTTGCATTTGACCCTGTAGTCGGTATATTCCGTAAACGTTACGATCTACTTGTAAAGCGATATGAATGTAAATATCCAATTGTTAAAATGAAGTTAAATTAAATGCCCTCTTAGCGCAGTTGGTAAAGAGTTTTCACTTGTAGAATGTACACGTAAACTGGTAAGTTCGAATCCTATTTCAGCGATTTATTTTTTATCTTAATTTTGAAATTACCATTCTCTTTAAACTATTGGAAATCTTTTTATTGTGTGTACTATCTATTAGAATTTTTAATAAATGTCTTTATAGCATGTATGCGCTTAAGCATATATGATTGCATGTCACAAAAAGAACCGTTGAAAGATACTGCAGTCTGCGAAAAATACGCAAAGCCCGAGCCCGAGTCTAGTAAAAAATCATTCGGGCTAGCTAAAAAGGCAGGGCACATAGTCCGACGTTCTTGCATTGTTTGGGAAACTGAAATGATTTTAAATAGAATTTTAAACACAATGACTGGGAGGGATATAACATATTGATTTTCTTCGAGGTATTGACACGGGATTTTCCAATATACGTCGATACTATTTATAACCGCCGAGAGGGGTATAGCATATTGATTTTTTTCGGGGTATTGACACTGGTATTTCCAAAACGCCAGAGGGGTAAGCTTATTGAAATAATGCATAGACATTTTAAGCCAATCAAATACCGCGTTATTAAAATGTCAAAATGGCGCACTCGGATTATGATTCTGGTATAGATGAAGATGAGCCTATGGAAATGAGTCAACAAGAAGTTGAAAGAAATCTATTATCTTTCAGTGTAGAATATCAGAAATAAATGTTATTCAACTGACAAAGCTTTTTATCAATTTCTTCACAATATATATAAATTTGAAAACCTGGCCAAATTATGAAAAATTTTGTATGAATTTTCGGGCTACCTAAAATTTGTTCGGGCTATGTGATATTTTAATGGACCAAGCCCGAATGTCTTTGTCCATAAAAAGTTTTTCGTGCAGACTGTACTGTAATGAAATAAAAGACATTATTGTGCATAAAAACACCACTTAAAAAGGTATTCTAAAACCAGGTGTAGTAAAACGATTTAAAATTAATTCTTACAATTAAATTTCAAAAAAATCATAACGTGGTGTTGGTTAGGTATCGAACTAGAGACCTTCAGATCTGTAGTCCGACATCTTTACCAATACACCACACCTCACTGACGAATGAAGTTAGCAAAAATATCGATATATTCGATAGGTAATGGTCAATGTTTATTCATATGACCTTTACGAAAATTAATGAAGTGCCAGGTCAATATTGTTGGACAATAATAAGTGAGTAAAACAAAATTATTTTTGTGTGTACCTTATGCTTATTAGTACACATAGTCTGCAAATTGTATCTGCATCTATAAATACATATGGCTACTTGTAATTAAACTTGAGTAATTTATCCAAAATAGTTATCACCTTACATCATGTACATATGATATATTCAATAAAAAATGTGATGTTACTATTACCTGTGCATCAATATTGAATGATATTTTTATTGAAGATACTTTAATTATTTTAGTTTCAGAAAATATAAACACTTTTAGCCTTTAACTTTAACTAACAAAATGTCAATAGAAAAAAAACATATTCTGCACAGAAAATCACCTATTTCCTATGCTGATTCTGTGTCCAATTCTGTGTCGGTCTCCACTCTGTACAGAAACATGAAAATCTGCCTCTATAACAACCAGAGTTGGTACAGAGTCTGTACAGAATTGGCTCAGAATTTTCGTACAGGTAGCAATATTTAGAAAAATTTACCAACCTGTATAAATTTGTATCATTTGCAAGAGGTAAAAATAAAAGAATGTCAAATGATTTTCTTATTATTATGTCACTGCACAGGTTTTACATTTTACTGGCATTACTACAATACTACTATCTATTATATATATTATCCCAGGAAATACTGTTTAATTGGCATTTTGCATTAATTAGCCTATATAATATTTGTGATTATGTAAAGCATTTTTTTAATGCTTAGCATGTTTGCAGAATTTTACCCCCCTTGTCTTATTAATAATGTCTATTTTCAAATCCAACACTGAGGAAAATTGAGTACATTGTCCGCAAACAGGTCTTGATTTGATATTGTTGCCAGAAAACATTATTTTAATAACGGTAATAGATCAACTGAAATAAATGATGTTAATTATTACTATAAAAGTTTTATATTAATTGAAAAATCAAAATAATTTTAAAGAAATTTGTATGTTATATCATTTTAGGTAGTCACGAGATATTTCTGGAGGAAAATTACAGAGGTGAGTAATAGTTTTATTTTTGTATTTTCAGAATGTAAGCCTATTTTTGTATAAGTAGAACTAAAAGGTATGCGGTCAGTTACATAAAGACAAATAGACAACTGAAAAATGTCATATTTTGCAAATACATGTATTTAGTTGAAAAGGGGGATAGGAGGATTTAAGAACGTATTTTTTTTTAATTATCTGCCCTCGGATATGCATGTTTTGTTCATCTTGGAGCAAATGGTTCACAGGCAAGGCTTGAGTAAGTGAGAAAAGCTTTTTTATAATTTACAGTATCCACTGTCGATAAGTCAATAATGTCAAAAAAATATTTTCATGTCTGCTCCATAACTTCCTAAATGTTGGAAAGATACTTAAACAATCGTGGCACAAATGATTCCCATAAAGTGTTTTGTTGTCTGCTCTTAGGATGTACGTTAGACTCTGAAACTCAAGTGTCAAACAATTTTAAAGCTACTGACCTCCAGATGGTAAAATGAAAAAATAAAATAAAATTTCAAGTAAATTTTTATGGTAAATACTGAACTAGTTAGGTTTATTGTATAAATCCATCATTTCTGACACCTTAATTCAAGAAAGAATGTTGACAAAATGCCCATTCTCAATAAAATAAAGCATTTGAGGTTGAAAAATATTAAAAATTTGATGTTGTCATTGCGTCATTTTTTATCGCTGAAGTAAACATTTAGGGTATTTTGCAAGTTTGCCAGAAATATTTTGAACAAGAAACTATAATATAACAGGATGGCATTTATTTCGGTAATGACACTGTATTTCTTCGGTAACGTAGATTTCAGATCAAATAATGTAACATATTGGCTGCATATTAATAGCAAATGTCTGTAAAAGATATCAAAATCTGTAAATTCTCTATCTAGAGGGACTTTCTAACCCGGGAAAATTCAAGGAAGTTGGGTGTTTTGTAACCTTGCTAATTTTCAGTTAATTTCTTCAAAGTTAAATATTCGTAGAAAGCAAAAATAGTCAATTTTGGAAATGATTATTTTATGTCTTCATTCAAAGGATATATATCATATATAATATATGAGAGGTCGAATGCATACACAAATGTTGTAGCCTGGATTACCCCGTTGTATCGATCTATTAACCCATAAATCACAACTGCATTAAAAAAAATCCAATCTCCCTGAAAATTTTATTTTGTATCATTTAGTTTGATCATTTTGCCATAATATTTACATGGCAAACATCACTGATATATAGTTTTTAGCTTTGGAATATTCAGATATTTACAGACATGTCAAACAGGTTGAAGAATAAGGTCACGCCATTATATCGATGCATTGTGAGAATTGCTCAGTTAGCCAAAGAATGGGAAGCCTTAACTATCTTTATTTCAGCTCTTTCAGTCAATTAGAAACATAGATGTCTGTTTTAAAATGTCAGCATAAATTTAGGAACTTTTAACAGACAGTAAATGTACCCTTAATAAGAACACATTATTTATAAGTCTAGATATTATATACAACGTCTTACGGTACTGGAAACATGTTTTTGATCATTTTACTGCACAAAAATAAATGCGAAAGATTTTTGTGACACTGTTGTAAATGTTAACAATCAGTAGGTGACGTATTTTGCAGAAAATCTAAAGATTTGTAAATAGATCGATTCAATGAATAGCACGATAAAATGGGTTTCAACTATATTAGCTTTTTTTTTTCAAAACATTCAACTTTCCGCTTTCTTAATATTTGGAAAATTTATTGCTAAGCAGTTCTATATTTATCCCCATATAGGATGTCACGTATGTTTCATTTTATTCAAATGCAAGTAAAGGTTGAGAAAACAATTTTATTTTTTGTAAAATAATTTATATTTATGGATATTATTTTAACATTATTATATATAGAATAAAAAACGGCCAGTAAGCTCTATGCAGAAACGAAGTAGTTGTTGCTGAGAACATCAATATCTTGTAATATATTTTTAACATTTCTGCTGGTACATCAACATATTAATAACATATCTTTCCTTTGTAAAAACAATTTTGTATCTTCTTACATCTAATACAAGGTAACCTTTACTAACAGGCATGCTAATCCCAACTTTATCTTAAATTTTCAAAAATTGTTGAACTGTAAGTTGGAGTAATGTATGTTTCACACTTGCTTATTTATGAACTTTATCACGGAATTGAAACTTACATGTAAAATCAACTTTTTTATTTAGGAATCAAATGTTTATCATTCTATTGTCATAAAATACGATTTTATGGTTTTATATAAGCATGTGCAAACAATATAAAGTCTGTTTGATAAAAGTAACGTTTGTTCCACTGTGGTTACTTAAACAAGTTAAAACTCGACCAAAGTTAACAAAATTTACTTACTAATGTCAAATAGAAGTTAATGTTGCTGTTATACGTGCTTTTTGACTTCATTTTCCTTTTTGATAAACTTACTTTAAAAGGTTGATAACGTATGTTTCTGTAACGTATGTTTCATTTTTACATTGAAAGTGGGTTAAAAAATGACGCAAAACGTTTAACCCGCCATAATTTGTGGTTAATATATCAGTCTCAGTTACACACATGTTAATTTTTCTTTCTTGTTTGGATTCTTCTTTGTATAAATTGGCTCTTAAATAATGGTAACGTATGTTTCTTTTTAAAATGCTGTGGAAAAGATTTGAATAAAAAATGAAAATTTAGAATGATAAAAATTTAGAAAAATAGAATGATATTTGAAAGGCCGCAAGCTTATTTCTACTTATACTTATATACATGCTGTATTATTAGGCATGCACCGATTGAATTATGTAATTTCGGCTTCACTTCTTATTGTTCTGGGTTTGTCACTATTTATTTATATGCATTTGGCAACATTTGATCATCCATTATATCAATGAGATTTTAACAGTCAAATATAATTTTTACCTATAATCAAAGTTCATATACACACAGCAATGACTAATTATTGCACATGTTTCGTTTATTCTGGAACTTATTTTTCTGAAACACAATTTCAAAGTTGAAAATTCTAGCTAGGTGGCGACAGTAATGTATGTTACATTTTAGGGCATTAATGGTACTTGTAAAAAAAATAAAAGATAGAAATGTAAAACAGAGAGTGTCCCTGTAAGACAAAGTGGCAGCCACCTTTCTAATTACATTTTGACCTCAAGAAAAACCTTCGTATAAGAACTACCCAGTGGAACATCAAATGCTGTGTTTTATTGAGAATGAGCAAAAAGCGTTAATATATCGGGTTATTGTTTTCCATAATTTACTACCTTACTAACGCTGTAGCCAATATAAATAGGAGCAGATAATTCATTTAACGCGGTCATGTGTCACAACAGTGATCTGTAAAAATCCTGATATCCGGTATGCCCGGGATCGTTTATCAATTTTCGTCATTAAGTAGGCCCCTATCGCATTTCAAGTTAAAGGTTAAATTGATAAATTGTCATCATATATATGAAATAATTGATCAATTATAATGTTTAGTGCCATTAATTACTACAAATATAAAAACAAAAGCAGTTATTCGTATCCCTATAGGTTTGATAAAATCCCGGATTCTGTGCGTTCCAGAGCACACAGGTCGCCTGTATTGTCCTGTACGATCATGTGATACTAGACAAAAAGGATGAAAGAATGAATAAATGAAGGAATAATAAAAGAATGTATTTCCCGTTGGTGGAAAAGCGAACTGATAGTTTTCAGAGCAATAAATGTTAAAATATGAACATTTTGAAGTGTCATTTCAATTTCTTTCAACTATATAAAGTTTGAGTTTTGAGGTGGGATTTTGAAATATCAA